AATTTTATTTCGTAACTGTTGACCTGAGTAATATTAGTTCACGGATTTGATGAGTAAATGATATTCGCACTCTCTCTTCATTTTAGTACGCCAAAATAATTGATTATTTGATCATATACCACTATCTGAAAACCTCCGTGTTACCTAAGTTTAATCACAAAACTTATCCTATTCGAGAATACATATTACTGCAACAGTTAAGAAAAGCGCGTCTATTCGAGGTTTGAATTCAGAGAGACTTCCAATCCACTCACAGCCGCATGAAGATTACAACTGTCAATGCAACACCACACAACATGAGAAACCTCTATGGTGATCAGTAAGACCCGCGTCGGTGTACCAAGAGTAATTATTCCGCAGAATGGCTCCGACCACTCTTCGAATTGCCCATTTGGTGATATTCGTGAAACAAGTCAGATGAAGATGGAATCAGCCTAACTGATTGGTTACGATACATCTCTTCGAGAGTACTATCGTCCACTGCCCATGATACCTGTCAAAAATACCAATACTTTTTCACCAGGCAACAGTCCCCTCACTTTTGCGTATTGATCAACATCACTATATTCTCCATCATATAAAAGCGATTGTCGGCGATTTCTCCACCATCTTTGAATAATAACTGCAGCCTGGAAAAAATCGATATTTTCTTGCCATAATAAAGTCGGCTCACTTGAGTTGTCACTGGCAGATCAATATGACGCAAAGCTTGTTGCACTACTGCTTCGACTTGCTGTACTAAATCTGACCAAAATAATGAGTATCATTGGAGTTTCACCCTAGTGATATGAAAAACACTACCGCGTTTTTCACATCGCGTTAAACGGGTGAAACTTCATTGAACTCGTTACCAGTCTGGTCGATGATGTGTCGCTCCACCAGTATCGTCTCCAGCATTCTCCTCACGCTACCATGAGCACCAGCAAACCACAGAGTAACTCCCCGGCCTTGCAATTCTACAGCGAGCTCTTCTAGGCCCTAAAACGACGTCAAGGGAGTATATAAAGGTCTTTCACTTACCTGAATAGCAGTAGCATCGATGAATGGCACGGCAACCATCTGCATCACGACCGCCTGGACCGATTTGCGGCAGTGACGACTATATCTCTGCTCGGTATGTAGTAACCTATACCAACAAGCATAATACAAGCCGAACAGTGTGGGATAATATTCACGTGTCAGTGACTCCGACATAAAATTTTGAGAATTTCTATCCGAATTTGCATATTTAGTGATAAAACGCCTGAACTCAGCGAGCACATATTACTCCAACAAACCCAACTGACTTGTCTTTCACATGATCCCAGTTGACAAACAGCAGCGGACCATCGACACCAAAAACCAACAGACCAGGTATGGTCTTGGCAGTAGTCGGCCAGTATGCTAAGGCTCGCCAATGGCCGTTTGACAATCTGAAGAGAAACTACACATTTTCGGCGACTTTTTGGAGCAATGTCGGGGAAATAAATGTTCGCTTTTATCAGCTGAGCTCAGAAATTTATATTTGAATTCGGCTGGAAATGTTCAGAAATAAGCAAGAATTCGCCTAATTTTCCTTAACAACGACAGAACATAAAGTTAACCATGTGCATATATCCCCCCACAGTTCGCGTCACTCACCTGCCCATAGCGTTCGTTGGTGGCATCGCAATTTGCTGTACCATTAGAGTCACCGACAAAACCATAGACAGAAACACACCCTGGAGCAGGCCCATCAACAGTGTACCTAACAAAAATATGAAATAAAGCATACACTTCGATTTGTGCATTTCCTGTGCGATTGTTCACTCATATATCACAACAGCTACATCACTTGAAATAGAATAAACACAGCTTATTCCGCATACTGACCAAAACTGATGTGCGCTGTGGCGGTGAGCGAACCGAAAATGCTGGAAAAAATCTCATGCCGGAAATCGAAGCCGTTTTTCGATGACTTTCACCAGCGAGCTTACCTCCAACAGCTACCAACCAAACGGCAAAATCTCGTTTAGAATTGTGCCATAACCATCTCGCGAAGTGAAAGTCGGTGAGATGGGGCGTTGCCGATATGATGATTCCGGCGAGGGCCGCATTGGGTATCCAATACCTGTCAACAAAAAATTGTCACCGCATTTGATGAGATCTGGTCAGAAAATGCAGCAATTTAAACTCACGCTCAATAAAGAGAAAACAAACGATTAACTACAGTTATGTCGCTGCAATTCGCAACTGCGATGCATACACGGTAGCAGAAAACTACAATGATGAATAGAAAACAATAAACACCCTCACTCACATCAGTGAGGTTAGAAAGGTAAGTCCCCCAATAGCGATAAGTGCAGCGACAATACCAGCAACCTGACAGAAAATTACGCTAGCGCTGTAGTAGAATGTCTCACCTGTGTTCGCACTCCTATACTGTGACTGATGCAGGTCCTCGACAGACCACCCTGGACTGGAAATGCACCGAAAACTGAACCTACAAGAGTTTGGTGACCAAGTCGATAACTTTATCCGTAACACATCTAAGCAACATAATAGTATTACAAGAAGCTGTACAGAAAATTTTAGAAATTCAAAAAGCAAGTGCTCATCATGTGGTAGACTAAAGCCCTTACCGACGAGATTGGCGACGCCCATAACGCCTAATTCGGTGCCCGCATGAATCTCATACCTGCAAGGAATTAACTGAAGGTAACACCATTTTTCTCACCCATCAACGATAGCAAACTTCTTGGCAGCAGCGTAACTCGAAATAAAGCACATGAAAGCGACCATGATGCCATCAGGGAGAACAGCCGGTATACCACTGAGAGGAGGCAGGGCCAACGAGGGTAAACCAGGGGGAACAAGACCAACCTAAAAAGAACGATATTGGAAACATGTGCAAATAATGGAATTTCACCCGTTATATAAAAATATATTTCACAAACTACTGCATAACGCGAATATCGCATTTTTCACAGAGTATTACGCGGTGAAACTCACATGTGGGATGTACTTCTCCCATCCGTCATCAACTCCAAATTCCTCCAGTAAACCGCGGCGATGTTGACAAGATAGCGAATACGAAAGCACTGTCGTAACGGCCACTGAAATAAAACGGCAAGATACCTTTTACGCACTGCGAAGAATATCTAACGGTTTCATCACCAGCCACTAGTTCCTTGTAACCGGCTATGAACTGAATGCGCCGGAAATGCGTCCGATATCGCGCGAAGATCCAAATTATTCCGACTGTGAGTAAACTCAGGGCGGTGACTGCTGGTGACGCCTGAGGAAAATTAATATTACAAAATATGGTAATTCCCTTTAAATGAATATTATGATGAAATTCTTAGTACACTTCCAAGATAGGAAACTCCCAAACTCAGCTGAGGAGAGCGAACGTATATTCCTATTCCACATGACAAAAAGATGAACCGCCGACCACGAAGGAAGCTTACCTCGTTTAGACGCAATCCGACAAGATACATATTTTCAAAGAAGTCAACGCCCTTGGGTAGGTGATGTAGACCGAAAAAGTCTTTCATAAGCGATGCTACTATCACGAACGCCGCACCTGATCAATATAAATATAAAATTATAACACCGGAGTTTCACCCGTTCTACGTGAAGTGGCGTAATACTCCATGTGAAAAACGCGATATGAAGTGAATTGCAAATACTTCACGCGTTTTACGCGTTATTCGCTGCTCACATACACACATATAAGTGAAAAACGTTTTTCATATCGCGGGTGAAACTCCAATAATATCATATTTTTTCATCATATATCATCATCGTTTTCACTCACCGGTGACAAATCCAGACAGCGCCGGCCTGGATATAAAACGCACGAGGGACGACAGTCGAAGCAGCGCCAAAATGCACATGGCAATTCCAGTGACTAGAGCCAACTGGCAGCCAACTGCAGTTCCTATACAATCAGCATGAGCTCTGAAGTGGTGAAGGAGGAGACCTCACTGGTTGCCAGATCGGGAATGTGGGCGACATGTTCACCCGTCATCAACGCCATCATAGCGCCTGTTCCCACCGACATGTGCGGCGACGTGCCAAAAATCGCATATCTAGAAATACGCACATGTGTTGGTGAAAGGGAATGTGACTTACATTAAAACCGGCCAAACACAGGAGTACGGGCCGTTTATGAGACCAACATGTGCGATGTTCGCGTGAGCTATGCTCTGCGATATTGTTATTAACCCCAGTGTTATTCCGCCTCGCACGTCCATCTCCGCATCTAGTCGTGTGTAACGCGTTAAAACACCGACTAGGGGGATCCAGTTTTTGATAAAATCGCGCATGCGCGTGAGCGGAGCGATGCTAGGTTGTTTACTGCTTGCAGGCGTACCGCTTAGGAGGGGAGTTGCCTGAATGCGGCTTAGTGGTCAGAGTGGTTTGTTGTTTACTCACTAGAGATCTAAACATGCTAGACTCGACCCGTTTCATTGAAGCCTTTGACATTGTGAAAACAGTTGAACTTGATGACGCCATCCTTATATGAAAATTATGATAACGTTTCGAGAAAAGCGTGCTAGTGCGTCACAATCTTGCGCAGACTTGAATTTCTCGCACGCATACACATGTCATCGCTCATCGGCTCCCAAGCACATATTATACTCCATTTTCAGTTGCCATTCAGCAATTTTCAGAAATTTTGTTTTATCCTCGTAATCTTCCCATGCGACGTCATTCCTCCCCAGGTCTACCTCCTTCTCCCATAAGTGTTATCATCGTTACATTTCTTCAGGTCCCCGCCTGCTTACCATTCCCAAGGGCCACCGTTCCCTCTCGTACGTTTCTAGTTCCCAAAAGACCCGTCGAGACAGTCTTGATCACAAGGACGTGCCTAAAAGGGTAGTTATTTTAACCTTTTTCGTGTTTTACTTCGTCTTCAGTTCAACCTTCGATCGACTGATACTTTTGTAGACAGTCATTTATCACGTGACGCTCATCGCACGACACTGATGCTAAGGAGTATACCGTATTCCTACACCCCGAAGGAGCTCTTGGATGAACTCGTTCAAAAAATCGGTTTCCAGGGCGAGTAAGTTTGCTACTCAAGTGGAGAATTATTTCCAAATCAGATATGACT